TTTTTTTTTTTATTGCTTAGATGGGTGGACGAGCTCACAGCCCACCTGGTGTTAAGTGGTTACTGGAGCCCATAGACATCTACAACGTAAATGCGCCACCCACCTTGAGATATAAGTTCTAAGGTCTCAGTATAGTTACAACGGCTACCCAACCCTTCAAACCGAAACGCATTACTGCTTCACGGCAGAAATAGGCAGGGCGATGGTACCTACCCGTGCGGACTCACAATAGGTCCTACCACCAGTGGTTACGCAAATTATAATTTTGCGGGTTTGATTTTTATTACACGATGTTATTCCTTCACCGTGGAAGTCAATCGTGAACATTTGTTAAGTACGTATTTCATTCGAAAAATTGGTACCCGCCCGCGGGATTCGGGGTAACTTCTCGGGATCCTCCAAAAAGTCAGTAAATGACCACAATTTTACTGACATTATATTTCATCCTATATCATATCATCTAATTCCATTTAATTTCATCCCAGTTGATTAATGTCTCAAATTGATCATTTTGATTTCATTTCATTTCACTAAATATCATCATTTTTCATATGAATAAGAATATGCATTTAACGTCCGTCTGGTGTAGTGGTAAGTGACATGGTCACAACACAAGGGGGTCGCGGGTTCGAATCCCGCCAAGGGAAGATATTTGTATGATAATTATAAAATGTATTTTCCAGGGTTATGGATGTATATTAAATATATGTATGTGTATAATAAAAATCTTACATTTATTTCCGTTATCTGGTACCTGTAACACAAGTTCTTTACGAACTTAGCACGGGACCAGTTATGTGGCGTGATTGTTAGTAAATATTTATTTTTTAATTACATTAAAATAAGGCATGACCTGGTCTTAGTTACCAGGTCATAAAATGCCTTAAAAAAAACATAAGTCGAACGCGGAGCCTAGTGCCGTCGCGAACCTACCCTCTGGCGTCCTTCCTCCAGTAGGGCGCGTAGAGGCCACTGAAGGCCGGCACGAAGTACACGTCCCCGGTGGAGAACACCTGACCCGCGATGTGCTCAGTGTCCTGGGACACATCCCTGATCAGCCTCAGGTTGTCCCTTAGGAACTTCATAGCGCCGCCCGCCACCGCGATCGAACCTAAAGACCGGTTTGTTACGACGGTTACTTGAGGCGCTACCACTGGTAGGACCTCTTGAGTCCGCGCGGGTAGGTACCACCATCCAGTCCATTTCTGCCTTGAAGCAGTGATGCGTTCTGGATTGAAGGGCGGGGCAGCCGTTATGACTATACTTAAGACCTTAGAACTTATATCTCAAGGTGGGTGGCGCATTTACGTTGTAGATGTCTATGGGCTCCAGTAACCACTTAACACCAGGTGGGCTGTGAGCTCGTCCACCCACCTAAGTTATAAAAAAAATAAATATTGCCTTTTTATGCAGACGAGCATACGGCCCACCTGATGGTGAGTGGTTACCGTCGCCCATGGACATCAGCAATGCCAGGGGCAGAGCCGAGCCGCTGCCTACCGCGAAAGTGCGGCCTGCGACCCATGTTTTAATCAGAAAATAGTTTGAATAATAGTATTCTTTATCAAAACATAACGAGGGATGAAAATTTATTTGGTTCAAGCGACATTACACTTAATACGCGACATTTATCTTTGTAATTAAAGGTGCGTTTTATTTTGGTATTAGCATCAACAGTTCGATTGTTTTTAATTGAACTTCAATTAAATTTACTCCATTCAAATAGCTGAAGGATTTATTAATTGTTGCGATATTGTTTCCAAATTTTCAAGGTGGGTTGTCTGTGGGCTTCAGTAACCATTTAACACCAGGTGGGCTGTGAACTCTTCCACCGATCAAAACAAGAAAAAAAAAAAAAATTTTTTTTTTAATTAAGATATCTTTTACTATTATTGGGAGAATTCCCGGAAACTATAACTATTAATTTTACTATATAGATACTTAGCGTGTTTTTTTTTTATTTATTTTTTAAATTGAAACCTGTAAATTATTTTTTCAGCGGCCCTCAAACTTTTGTAGTAAATTGAATTAGCCCGCAAACGTACGTTGTTTGCGACCGCCGCGCTCTAATGAATTAAATGGAACACCCTGTATACAATTATAATATTTAAAAATGGAAGACTCCCAACACTAAACACACCGTGACCAAGTTCACGTTTGAACCCTATAGAAACAACATAAGACTCACCCTCCAATGCGTAAATGGGGGGTTGATCGGGTCCTAATTTATAAGCTATCGTCGTGATCAGACCGTGGGTCGAATTGACCCGTCTGGTTCCGGTGTTGTACAGCAGAAAGCACCCGCTGCGGTAAGTGTTCTTCGCTTGGCCGGCGCTCAAACAGTTCTGACCCACGAGCGCAGATTGCTGGTTACCTAAAATCTAAAATGAGAGTAAAGGGTCTAGTAGCAGTAAATTATGGTACCCGTTTGTTTTTATAGCTTAGATGGGTGGACGAGCTCACGGCCCACCTGATGTTAAGTGGTTACATCAGATGGGCCATGGTGATAGGACCTCTTATATGAGTCCGCACGGGTAGGTACCACCACTCTGCCTATTTCTGTCGTGAAGCAGTAATGCGTTTCGGTTTAAAGGGTGGGGCAGCCGTTGTAACTATATTGAGATCTTAGAACTCATATCTCAAGGTGGGTGGCAGCATTTACGTTGTAGATGTCTATGGGCTCCGCTAACCACTCAATACCAGGATGAATGTGACCTCGTTCACCGATCTAAGCAATAAAAAAATACAGATAACGCAATATGTCAAGCCATGACGTCATTCATAGCCTAATTAAAAAAAATTACTTTATTTAAAACTACAAAGTGATTGGACGTTCTCGCATAAAGCCGACCAAGCAATACAATAATAATATCGTTTATTTGTAATATCGCGTCTTTATTTAAACCGATATTAATGTATACATTTCTCCGAATACTTTAAATCTATAGATTTAGTAAACAAAATTAATTGGTTTTAATTAAACAGTATAGGTACTCTTGTATATGTATTTAGGATGGACGATATTCAATAGATAACTAAAGGCGTTGAGTCTCAGTGGCGTAACGAGGGGGGCCAAAGGGGGACATCATGCCCCTGACGCTACGCACAAACGGGGGGCCAACCGCCAACTTTTATTTTTATTACAATTGGTTTTTGGATTTTTTTTAATAATTTATATCTTTTGAATTAATTATAGATGATCATATTACACATTTTGGAATCTAGCCTTGTTTTCTCAACTAGATTTTTCGTTCCTAATTGAAACCCTGGCTTGAGCCTATGACTTTATTTATTTTACTTTATTTATTTTTTAATTTGCGAGTATATTTTCGAATTGGCTAAAGAGGTATTGAGCGCCAGTTAAGATCGTTACGTCACTGTTCAGTCTTCATTCTCATGTCTGGAGGCAGTAGGTAGACACCCGGTCACGACATTTACAGCCTCAAACACATCCTCGTGTGGAGTCTGCGAATAACGAAAATACAAAAAAAATCTATATTTACCCCTGAAATGGATATGCCGTCGAGAACGGAGCCGTCTCTGACCGTGCCGTACACTTCGGAGCTACTTCTTATCTCCGCCAACGTATCCCGATGGATTCCGAATAGCCTGAAACAAAAAGGCGTCTTTGACTTCCAAGACTCATCCTGGTAGGACCACTTGTTAGTCCGCGCGGGTAGGTACCACCGCCCTGCCTGTTTCTGCCGTGAAGCAGTGATGCGTTTCGGTTCGAAAGGCGGGGCAGCCGTTGTAACTATACCGAGACCTTAGAACTTATATCTCAATGTGGGTGGCATATTTACGTCGTAGATGTATATGGGCTCTAGTAGCCACTTAACACCAGGTGGGCTGTGAGCTCGTCCATCCATCTAAGCAATAAAAAAATAAAATAAAAGACTGGTCCTGGTAGGACCTCTTGTGAGTCCGCATGAGCAAGAGATAGAACCTCACCGACACAGCACGGGGTCCCAGTTCAAGGTCTCCAGATTCATGAGCAAAGTCCTCGAAGCGTTCGTCACGTCGGTCACGTGAAGACCGTCTTGTGGACCGCCGGTTAAATTCTAAAACAAAAAACAAAATTTCACACATTACACGGCTGATCTAGTACGGTTAGCAAAAAAAAAACATATTTTTTTATTGTATAAATGGGTCGACGAGCTCACAGCCCACCTGGTGTGAAGTGGTTATTGGAGCCCAAGGACATCTACAACGTAAATGCCGCCACCCACCTTGAAATATGAGTTCTAAGGTCTCAGTATAGTTACAAAGGCTGCCCCGCCCTTCAAACCGAAACGCATTACTGCTTCACGGCAGAAATAGACAAGGCGGTGGTACCCAACCGTGCGGACTCACAACAGGTCCTACCACCAGTAATTACGCAAATTATAATTTTACGAATGCACCAGACGTCTTATCCTTTAGGCCACGACGACTTTTTTATCATAATTCGCAGGATGAGTTTCGGTTTGAGGGTAGTCTAAACTCATTCGTTACAATTCGATCGTAATATCTAAAAGCGGTACAAACTCATTCGTAAAAATTGAGACTTCAATCTCGTGTTGCAAACGGGCGACATGTAACACGGCAGGCGGATCGCGTTATCCAAAAGTGAACCAAGAATCCAACTCACCCACAGAATCCACGAGTCCACAGTGCCGAATAGCAATCGTTTATCTCTACTCGCTCGTCTGACTGCCTTCACGTTATCCTTCAACCAGCGCATTTTCAGCGCGCTGAAGTAAGGCGATATCGGTAGACCGCAGATGTTCTTCAGATAGTTCTTATTCCGGTCCGGCACTTTGGCCAGGATTGCGTCTACCGTGCTATCGGTACGTATGTCGTTCCAGGCTGTTTTTCAGAATTTGATTGAAATAAATTTCGCGAAACCAATCTTTAGACTAACGTAAATAAAGTACAATATCGTCCAAACCACCTCAAAGCTTTCTTTATCGGCTCCGGCGACCACCAGAATTTTGATTTAATTAAATTACGCGAAACCAGTCTTTAGATAGACGTAAATAGAGTTCAATATCGTCCAAACTACCTCAAAACTTTATCGACTCCGGCGACTACTTTAACCAAGGTATCTAAAGACAGTAACTAAAAAAATGCTATCTCGATCTCACATTTCAAGACGCCACCGAAGAGAGCCGTGTACCAATCTTTGAATATTAAAATATTGAAATAAATTAATTAAATTGTGGTTGGCACTTGTAGCATAACGGTATCCACGCTTAAGACCATTTCATATTATAATTGCTTCTAATGAATGCATAATAATGATTATGATTTTTTAAGAAGAAACGACTACTATTGGTCCAGAGGCCTTTCCGGCTTCACCAGGACAGGTGGGCAAGCACAGACTCAGCTAGGAGGGATGGGATTTTCTAACAGCTGCCCGAGCGCCTCCGAAGCAGACCCTAATAACTCAAGGGCAACTACCTTGCGCATGAATATTGAATTATAAATATATGACACTATTTATAGGATATCTTTGAAGAATTCGACCTATGAATATTCTAAAGAACATTGAATAATAAAGATGATTTATTGAAAAAGTAGACCCGATAATATAATCTTATGCTCACCTTAATGATCTCGTTCAATTGATACATCGTTTACGGTAGACAGCGGCTTGGCTCTGCCCCTGGCATTGCTGAAGTCCATGGGCGACAGTAACCGCTAACCAAAAGATTGGCCGTATGCTCGTCCGCCTACAAGGGCAATAAAAAATATAAAAAAATCTTACCTATGGCGGGGTGCAATGGCTCCCCGGTATATTTGTCCCAAGCTATAGTTGTCTCCCTCTGATTCGTTATGCCTAAAGTAATGATGTCATCTTTTGAATAACCTAAAAAAAAATGAAACATTGTTATCCATACTAATATTATAAACACGAATGAGTGAGTACAAAAAGGGTCATACGGAGGGACCCTACCATATTAAAAAAATCCGTAGGATAGGCGAAGACGCTTCTAAAAGCTAGTAATGATACGACAAATGGTAACCAGGGATTTCACAGAAGTATTATACTAATATACTACGATCATCAAGCGGCATTTACTGGTGGTAGGGAACCATCACTCTGTCTATTTCTGCTCTTGAAACAGTTCAAGAGTTGAGGTTTGAAGGTTTTACATCCGTTCAGTACAACAGAGACTCCCATCTCGTATCTAATGGAGATTTTCATTATTCATACCGGAAGTAACCATTAAAAAAAATAGGGTTAGTCAGAAAATGTATGGCTTGCAAGTTTTATCTTCACCTAATTCTGTTAACTGGTCAATGGCATTTTCAGCACAAAGCTTTATGTGGTGCATTATCTCGTACGGATCTTGCTCTGACCAGCCCTCATGGGGCTGCACCTCCGTCTTGTCCATCTGATACGAGGCCAGTTCCTCCGAGCATTCCGCTTCGTATATCTGAAATGGAAATTTTGAAGATTTGCCACTAACTGCGTTTTTGTGTTCCTACCTAAGCTGATAGCCTTGAGAGGCTATATCAGCGTCGCCTTAACTAGTAGGTGAGCTCACGGGGCTCAAACCTGATGACGTTGCTAACACGAACCCTAGCAAGAGCCGTGCTTCGCAGAATCTACCACCGGATCGGAAACGCGACCCACTGAGAAGATCCGGCGAGAAACTCAGTGGGCTGTGTCTGAGGGTTAACTGTTTTGCCGAAAGAGAATAAATATGGCATTAGTCTGGTTATATAATAATATGTTTGCTGCTGAATCACCATTGCTCATTGACCTCACGATGCGCATGCCGCTGTCCATCATGAGACAGGAGTTTGACGTCTTAAGCTCTTCAAACCAGAATGTATGTCTGGTACGCGACAATAACCCGAAAGAGGGTGGTACTGGCCGACGTTGTCTCACAGTACGCTCTTATTCTCAATAACTATAAATTTGACAATTTGACCAAAAATACCTCCGACATTACTATTTTCCAAGGCAGACGAGCTACCTTTAAAGTCAGTAAAACAGGAAAACGAAACATTTAAACATATTTAACCCTGTAACCCGATTTTGATGAAATAAATAGGAATGCTTTTCTTTCTTAAATTCACTATGACTTTTATATTTAATATTCCCGGTACTTTAATACTAGGGATGGGTTTTTGCCTTTCCAGCAGATATATCAGGGGTTTACATGGTTTTCGTCTTCCTGAATTTATTAGATAGGTATGTTTCTTTATCATTATTCACCATTATCCAACATAGTCGGCACGTATGAAAGCCATAAATCGGTGACATTGGTAAAATATTATGCCTTGATTGGGCAAATCAGATTAAGAAAATCCATCATCGGTTAAGTGATTTAATCCAAGTATTAGCGTGTTAGTAATTTAACGCAACACATGAAAATTCTCTTCAATTTTAAAATCTTATTGAAATAGTTAAATAAATAAAAATTAGAAAAAAATAGAAACAGTAAACAATTTAATTGTCGGTTCTTCGTGAAACAAAGACCCATTCAGTTCGATAGGTAGGTCGAATATATTTACATTAAATAATTAAGTTTGTTCATTCATAGGATACAAAATGCGTTGATTTACTTCAGATCTAATTCACAATAAAAATTGCATGATCATTTCCGGAAGTTCCCACAAGCTTTCAGACATTTTCGTGCTTTTTTACTTACTACAAATCTGACGGTCTTGGTTCCGTCATCTATAACAGCGACCAGGGGCTTCTTGGAGCCGTCCCGGACTGGCATTTCTGGTTCTAGAACAAAATAACCGTTATTTAAAATGCGCGGGTGTATTCAACATCATTCAATAGGTGTAGCCAAAGACATTTTAACACTACGTATCGCCCGTGTTTTTTACCCTAACGCTAGAGGGCCAGACGCGCTTACTAGAACGTAAGCGCGTGGTCAGAATGGAATAGGTACAAATGTAAATAGCTTCATTGATGGACTAGCCATATTTACAAGACTTTGGAACAGATAGGACGCGACGTTACCGTGGCCGTAAATGGTAAAACGCCTGGTGTACATGCTGTATGAACCTGATGTACTCATCAGCCCCATTATTACAATAACCGTACATTGATCGTAGTATTTGTTTGAGTTATATGATATCGAATAAATGTAACTCGAAATATAATATTAAAAATGTGTAATTTTCCACTTCACCGGTTGATAACAAAACCGACAGACAAGATAAAAACACCCTTCTTATCGCTGATCCGTAAATTGTTAAACTGTAAACTAATTAATTTTAATCTTGTGAATGGTTAAACAAACATCACGGTTGATTTTATGGTCTAAGGTTAAATATCATGTTTGCAAAAGTAATTAAGATTAGTAAGCTAAATATACCCTTGGGAGTTCGAATTCGAATAATTAGAATATTTCCTTTATAATTACGAATACCGTCGTTTCCTTACAATTTTCCCAACACTAGATCGGATCTTTCTATATATTTGCACTCTAAGGATTTGCATTAATAGATATTTATCAAAACGGTAAGTATCTTTTAAATTTATCATAATTATAAGTTCCTTTAGATTTTTACAGGGTTTTCTGAATACGTGCTAAGAACATAGACAACGTCTCTGAAAATCAATCCTAAAAATTTTTTCGTGCTTTTGAAATTATTTGAAAAGATAACAGTAAATATTAAGTTGCAAGGGGTATAAGATGGCCATGCCTAATGTTGCAAGAAGTTGCCAAAAGGGAGGTCCTTTATGAAGAATAGCAACAGTGGTTGAAGAGTCCTCCCAGTGATCAGCGGTTTGATCTGATCAGAACAAAAGCGAAACAGTAAAACTGTTCTCAGACGCTGTTGTAAACTAGCTGATCCGGCAGACTTCGTAGTGCCTCAATCGAGAAATAAAATACTTAAAATTTTGTATAAAATAAACTTAAAACAAACAAAAGGAGTCTGTCCGACGGGGGAGACATCAAAGGAAAAACAAAATTGTTATTTTTATTTAATTCCGAGGATTTTCATATTTATTCACTTTTTAAACCTTCTCTGGACTTCCACAAATAATTCAAGACCAAAATTAGCCAAATCGGTCCTGCCGTTCTCGAGTTTTAGCGAGACTAATGAACAGCAATTCATTTTTATATATATCGTTTTGGAGAAAGACACTCCTGTTGTAGATGTCTGTAAGCTCCGGTAACCACTTAACACCAGGTGAACCGGGAGCTCGTCCACCAATCTAGGCAATAAAAAAAGAAACGGACGTTGACTGCTTTAATTAAATAGATTAATCAACTTCACAGATTAAAATATGTGTGATTTGGATTGTTATCTAGCTAACAGAAAATAGATTAGATCTGATATTTCGTTGGCTTCGTTGCAATCAATTATCTGAAAGCCCTCGAGTATTTGATCAAATCTACTCACTGTTCAACAATTTGTATTACAATATTTGTTTTCGAAAACACTGTCATGTTGGTAAACCTTATTTCAAAATATTTACAACTTTTTCTGTGTGTTGCATGTCGCGTGACGGTCGGCCGCGGAGTAGGGATAAAGTGAAAGGCGCTCGTCAAAGCAGCCAAGGCCAATATGGCGGCGCCTATAGTTCGCACCAGCTGACCGTGTAATGTATAGACTATTACTCATTTGTGCCAGTGCTCCACGCTATTTTGTTTGTTTTTGTCAGTGTTTAATGTAAATGTTGTTTGTCAGAGTTAAATGTCTATAATGTGAAAAAAAGTTTCACTTTTACCGTGGTTTCGTTAAACCACACAATCCTTTTTTTTATTTTATTCCTTCGATCTTTAGTCGAACTCACTTCATCCACCTTATCCTCAGACACAACCGTGAGTTGAGATATCCGCCAAAATTTCTCAGTGGGTTTTCCGATCCGGTGATAGATTCTGCGAAGCACTGCCCTTGCTAGGGCTAGTGTTAGCAACGTCCTCTGGTTAGAGCCCCGTGAGCACACCTACTCGCCCGGTTATAGCTGGCATAACCGTTCGAAATTACATGGCATAGTGAGAAGAAAAATAAGGCCTACCGGGTGTCAATTCCTTACCAAAGCCCATAGACATCAACAACATAAATGCGGCCACCCACCTTGAGACATAAATCGAAGTGTCAGTTGTACAGTACAACGGTTGCCCCACCCTTCAAACCAGAACGCATTACTGCTTCACGGCAGAAATTTGAAGATAGTACCTACCCCTTGCGAGTACACTAATCGCCACTACACAAACACTACACAACTACCACCAATACACAAAAAGTATAAGCTTTCAACTTTTCGTAAAATATATTTTGTGTAAGTATATTAGTATATATTGTATGTAAGTATGTATATTGGTATATATTATATGTAAACGGTATACATTTGTTTATTGTATGTATATATTTTCTATAACAATGTCTATGGTGCACCGCAACATACCTGCTATATTTTTATATTATACAGAAATTCTGTAAATTAAACGGTTGTTTGGAAGAGATTGCTTTTAGCGATAAGACCACCTATTGTACAAATGTATCTGCTTTTTGACTGTTTTTTTGAATGTAAATTGTGTTGGTGTGCAATAAAGTGTATTTTCTCTCTCTCTCTCTCTCTCTATATATATTTTAATCTCATTTGGCTTAAGGACTTAACACATACCGCACCTACAAATTTTAACATTTTTACATACATGAATTTTGGGTTGAACACATCTGCATTAAATCATCCACCAATTAATTCATTAAAGACTGAGTGTAATATTAATTGATTCTAAAGTCCACATATGTATTTATCTAACATGCGACGCTCACCAAACGCGTCCGATAAACAGATGCAATTAAAAGTTGGGAATTAAAAGGTGACCAGTGTTATCTGCAAATTTCAGGCATACATCTGTAATCTAAATAGCATTGGTACAAAATTTAAAACTAGTTAGACGGTTTCTTAATTTTTTATTTTTTTTCATCTATACTAATATTATAAAGCTGAAGAGTTTGTTTGTTTGAACGCGCTAATCTCAGGAACTACTGGTCCGATTTGAAAAATTCTTTCAGTATTAGATAGCCCATTTATCGAGGAGTATAGGCTATATAACATCACGCTAAGACCAATGCAAGCGGAGCACCTATAAAGAATGTTTCAAAATCGGGGATTTTTTTACCTTTTGAGAGCTTCCGCTGCGTGCGCTGCGGAAACGGTTAAAGTTTCGCTAAAATTATGTATGAAAAAATTGTTCCCCTTTAAAAGATCTAAAAAAAAGTCCGCAACAGCATATGTGTATATGTTAAGGTTGGCTAACTATAGCGTTTTAATGCCATAATTTTTTACATACAATAGATAAAAATGTATGGTCGAATTGATAACTTCCTCTTTTGAAGTCGGTTAAAAAGCGTGATTTTGGTACCTTAAATAACTCCTTAACATTCTATTATTCAAAAATATTTTCATTTTCTATGTAAATAAAGAGGCGGGTAATATTTAGCGTTATGCCAAAGTAACTATTTCACGCGGATGAAGCGCGCGCAATAGCTAGTCTAATATATATAAAAGACTCGTGTCGCGGTGTTTGTTGCCAAACTCCTCCGATATGACTCAACCGATTCTCATGAAATTTTGTTTGCATATCGGGTAGGTCTGAGAATCGGTCAACATCTAATATTTCATACCCCAAATGTTAGGGGTGGTCCACCTAAAACAAATATTTCCTATACATAATGTATATGGCGAAGCAACGTTTACCGGGTCAGCTAGTTAGTTATCTTATATTACTGACACGTTTTTTAAGGTAGCAACTACTTAGTAAGCACTACACACGACTGACATCTTCTCACTCTCTCGTAAAAAGAATAGTGGTCCTTGTAGGACCTCTTGTAAGTCCGCACGGGTAGACCCTGCCTATTTCAGCCGTGAAGCAGTAATGCGTTTCGGTTTAAAGGGCGGGGCAGCCGTTGTAACTATACTGAGACCTTAGAACTCATATCTCAAGGTGGGTGACACATTTACGTTGTAGATGTCTATGGGCTCCAGTAACCACTTAACACCGGGTGGGCTGTGATCTCGTCTACCCATATAAGCAATAAAAAAAATCTAAACGTCAGAAATACTATATTAAGATTACAATAAAAGACGTGAGATTAAATCGTAAATATAGCTTTAATTGTTTCAAAAACCAAAGCACAAAAAAAACTAGCATAGGTACAACTTGATCTCTTAGTTCTCTTACCAAATATTTGTTATGAAATTAATGATTTAAATGTATATTTTACATTTCGAGTCCAGTATCGAAATCTTTTTTTTTTTATTGCTTAGATGTGTGGACGAGCTCACAGCCCACCTGGTGTTAAGTGGTTACTGGAGCCCATAGACATCCACTACGTAAATACGCCACCCACCTTGAGATATAAGTTCTAAGGTCTCACGTATAGTTACAACGGCTGCCCCACCCTTCAAACCGAAACGCATTACTGCTTCACGGCAGAAATAGGCAGGGTGGTGGTACCCACCCGCGCTGACTCACAAGAGGTCCTACCACCAGTAATTACGCAAATTATAATTTTGCGGGTCTCATTTTTATTACACGATGTTATTCCTTCACCGTGGAAATCAATCGTGAACATTTGTTGAGTACGTATTTCATTAGAAAAATTGGTACCCGCCTGAGATTCGAACACCGGTACATCGCTCAACACGAATGCACCGGACGTCTTATCCGTTAAGCCACGACGACTATTTGGAAGGTAATGCCTAGTCTAAGGAAAGCCTAAAATGGCTAGTCGATTAGTTATCGTAAATACCAG